CCAGGCAAGCAGCGTAGTCAATGGTGAGAGATTATGAGAGTTGTAGTCAAACAACAACTGCAGGGGTGCAGATTCCTCCCAGATGAAATGCTGAATATCTCTTTACCTTTCATATACACACACCAACACACATGGACATGTGAGTGGTTAAAAGTCTCCTTACTCTTCTATTGTCATGAGGTAGCAGGGAAAAGGAGGAGGGAGGGAAATCAGTTTCCTACTCACAATCTGTATACTGTAAAGGAGAGTTCATTTAAATTGGGGTTCTCAAGAATTAATTTCCAACATATTGTTAGAATAATTGTGAGTGGCACCATCAATCCTTGAGGTGGGCAGGAGGATGATATTAAGAATGCGGAACAGGATTTCCAGAGTTTTTCTCCTTGGTCACCCTCGTTCTTGCCAAAGTGCCAGATGTCATGGAACTGCAACTCCTATCATCCCTCGTCTGCTGCCTAGGCTGACCCAGGGCTGATGGGAGTTGCAGTCCAACAACACTGGAACCCACCTCTTCACTAATCTGTTTGTGATCTGTAGGAATTCAGTTGGTGAAGCTTTTCCCAACATTACCTCCTGTTGCTTTATCTCCTGTTGCTAGGGTAAACTTGAGTTTGTGTTGAGAACACAGCTGGTCCAAAACACACTGCAGAAATAATCCGGTTTGAAACTGCTTTAACTGCCCTGGTTCAATGCTAGGGAATTCTGGGAATTGTAGTTTTGTGCGACGTTAAGCCTTCTGTCAGAGAGCTTTGGGGTCACAACAAATTGCAGTTCCCAGGTTTCCCTAGCACTGGCCAGGGCAGTTAAAGCGGTCTCAAACTGGATTATTTCTGCAGTGTGTTTTGGACCAGCTCTTTAAAAGTGCAAGCAACCTACAAGGAACCCATTGTAGAAATGCAACAGGTGAAGCTTTCCGTCATCCTTGCCTCCTTTTGCCAGGGAAAAGCTCATGTTGTGTGGCTGGTATAGCTGGGGTGTGTGACTGGCACCCTAAACCTAAAACCTAACCTAAAACCAAGGAAAAGGATAACAACATTATCACAACAAAGTTCAAATCAATTCGGATTGTTGCTTTCTTATCTGTTCCTTTGGCTTGCATCATGGCATTAAGCAGGGTGGGTTTTTGGGGGCATGCAGAGAAAATGGTGGGGGGAAATCCTCCAGAAGACCAATATTTTCCTCTTTCCATTTTGTTGTCAGAAAATCTTTCATGTGCACCAGAAATCTAACCTGCCTGAATTATTGCGGGATTGGTTAGCTTTTGGAGACAGTAAAGGATCCAGCATGGTGTAATGGTTTAAGCAATGGACTATGATTCTGGAGTCCAGGGTTCGAATCCCTGCTTGGCCATGTAATTCCAGTGGATAACCATGGGCTAGTCACATTCTCTCAGCTTCAGAGGATGGCGATGGAAAACCCCTTCTGGAGAAATTTGTCAAGAAAATCCTGTGATAGGTTCACCTGAGGGTTGCCATAAGTTAGAAACGACTTGATGGCACACAACAACGGCAACAAGTTATGGTAAGGGCATACATATGTTCTGGATGTGAAATCCAAGTGATACAACAAAATATTGGAGGAAGCTGATGCTCAGCCAAAGACTTACTCTATGGCCTTGGACAGATCATTTAGTCCTTCTTCTTCATCTGCAAAAGGGAAATACTAAACACTTCAGCCCCTGCCCCGAAAAGAGAGAAGAACCGAGTGTTGATTATAGTTGTTGCTGGTTGTTCTTGTGTGCCTTCAAGTCTATTGTGGTGTTTTCTGGGGCTGAGAGTGTGTGACTCCCGCAAGGTGGGTTTCCATCGCTGAGGTGGGAATCAAACCCTGGCCCCAAAGTTGTTGTAAACCCATGTTCAAACCACTATAGCATATTGGCTCTGATGATACTGAAATATATTATTTTAAGGCAGTGACATTGCCTGTAGGATTGGAAAGTTAGGGCTACTCTTGGATTTTGCAAGGTGTGTGGCTTCGGATGACTCCTGCATCTTCTCTGTGCTTGTTGCAAGAAAACCAAGGGAGGAAAGGATGCTTCAAACCTTGCTTTTGGAAAGGGCCAAAGGTGTGTGTGTGTATGTGTTATGTGTGTACGTGTGGATTTCTTTCCTTCCCAGAGCAGCTCCAAGACTAGGCTTGCATTGGTTACCATGGTTTTCCTAAGGAGATGGGCAGAGTTGGTGTGAATGCTGCTACGTCACCAAGCCATCAGCCCCAATCCTCATCCAGGCATTTACGCTGCATGTGTGTGTGCATGCGCACATGCGTGTGTTGTGTGTGTGTGTGTGTGTGAGATCAAGGGGGGGTGTAAAATAGCATCTTTGCCACATGACTCTCCTACCCCTCCCTTCTCTGGTCTGCCTGGAGCTGGACTCAGCTTGGATTGTCAACATCTCTCCGCTGTGGCCCTCTTTGCTATTTTTGCCCTGACATTCAGAGCACACAGAAAGAGCCAAAGGGGGCAAAATCTGGGAGCAGCTTCAAGAAAACTGGAGCCTTGTATGAATCAGAGGTGGTTGAACCTAAAGGAGGAGAGATGGGCCCATTCCTCCAGAAGAGAGGGCAAGATTTGACTGGTTTGATGGGGCTTGCTTAATTTTCTCAAGATTTTTTAAAATATATTTTTAAAAAGCTTTATTAAGTTAAAATATTACAATTCAATACATATGCAAAAACCATATATTACAATACAATATAAACATAAATAAATACAAAAACACCAAAAAAAAGATAAAAGAAAAGAAGAAGAAAAAGGAAGAGAAAAAAAAAGAAAAAAAGAAAATCAAGACATTAAACAATAAAGAAAAAAATTAGAAATTTAACACATTAAACAATAAAAAAACATCCAATTACATATCTCAAACATCTTATATATAGCTCCCATCTTCTTCCTTTCCTCTTCTTCCCACTCCTCTCACTCTTAACTTCCTTTCCTTACTCGAACTTTCTACCTTTCCCACTCTCTCCCCACTTACTTTCTTTCCACTTACTCTAACCTTCTACACTTTCCAAATCCTTAATATCCTATCTTCTATCTTCACTCAATTTTCTCAAGATTTTTAACACCACCAGTCTTTTTACTGCAAACAGGCTGCAATCTGAGCTGGGCTTTGTTTATACAGAGCAGTGTAGGGAATGTGTGTCCCTTCAGATCAGGGGTAGGCAACCTTTTTGAGCCAGGGGCCAGGTTGCTGTCCCTCAGACAATTGGGGGGCCGAAGCACCAAAAATAAATAAATAAATAAAAATTAAAAAAAATAAAAAAAATAAAAAAATATGCATGCACACTTTCTCAGCCCCAGAAAAGCCATGGCAAAACCCCTGTGGAGATTTTGCCAAGAAAACCTCAAGAACAAGTAATAACAACAATAATCAATATCATCATGGCGGGTGGGGCGGCGGGGGGGGCAGCGGTGGCGGCGGTGGCAGGACTGGCCTGGGGCCGGTCCAAAGGCCTTGGGGGGCCGCATCCGGCCCCCGGGCCTTAGGTTGCCTACCCCTGCTTCAGATGTTCTTGTTGGACTTCAACTCCCATCATCCCTCAGCACTGGTTGTGCTGGTGAAGACTGATGTGACTTGTGGTCCACCCTCATTGGGTGGGCCATGCATTCCTGGACCATTGGACTGCTTTCGATGCTTACCGTAATCATAAGGCTGGGTTTGGAACAAAGGTTCTATGAAGAGCCTCTGAGCATGTGCAGAAAGTCTTGTTTCCTCATTCTCTCCCCATTAAAAACAAAAATGGATACAGAAAACATTCAGGGGTAGCTGTGTTGGCCATTTAGCAAATTAAAAAAAAAATCAATCAGTGATACCTTTATTGTCCAACCAAAATGCACAATATACTTGTTGCAAGCTTTCAAAGCTCCATGGGCTTCTTCATCAGGCAAGACGTTACAAATCAAACAAGAGATAAACAATTGGAGTTTGTTTTTTTCCTGTTTGGTTTGTAGCATCTTGCCTGATGAAGAAGCCCATGGAGCTCTGAAAGCTTGCAGTATGTATATTGTGCATTTTGCTTGGCTAATAAAGGTATCACTTTTTTATTTTATTTAAAAATGAACATCCATGTGGGATGAATACAAGGAATGGCTTTGAGGGCAGCCAGTGGGACACCGAGTCATAGAATCATAAAATCATAGACAATTTGGAAGGGGACCCCAAGGGTCATCCAGTCGAACCCCCTGCAGAATCAGCCACAAAGCATTCCGGACAGATGGCTATCCAGTCTCTGTTGTCAGCTCTACATTTGGCAAAATGAGGCGGGCAGTTCAGGCAGCAGATCTGGGATGTCATAAAAAGGGCAGAAAATTGTTTGTTGTTTAAATTATCATTAATATTTTTGAATTTTTATTTTGTATTGCCAAGGATGGAGAGAAACCTTTCTGCCTTGGTGGCCCAAATAACTATTACCTGGTTTTAGGTTCTGTGTCCCTTGCCATAAGCAGTAGTGGTTTTGTGGGTTCTTACATCTGTGTTGTGGTGAATCCACTCTGGATTTTAGTCAGAACTGGAAAGGAACTATGCAAAGTGCCAAATCTGTTACATTTAAAATGTAGTCCCTTGTTTTTAGAAATTAACCATGGAAGTTGACTGAAAAAGGAAATCTTGTGCATGTCTACCCAGAAGGAAGACCCTTCTTTCAGTGAGACCTGGGGTGTATCCACACTGCAGAAATAAAATAGTTTTACACTACTTTAAGTGCCATGACTCATCCTACAAAATCCTGAAACTTATAGTTTGGTGAGGCACCAGGGCTCTCTGACAGACTAGGCTGAATATCACACTAAACTACAAATCCCATGATTTCACAGGCTGGAGTCATGGAAGTTAAAGTGGTGTCAAACTGCTTTATTTCTGCAGCGTGGAACAGCTGTTAGTCCCATACAGGTGTGCACAGAAAGAGAGCCAGCTTGAGTGTTGAACTAAGGGGGGTTGCAGACTGCCAGAAATAGTGCAAA